TAAATGTTTAAAATTTAATCTACAATACTATTACCAATAAGTAAAATTATTTATTTTCAAATAAAATACTAAGATAATTATAAACATATAAAAACATTTACAACAGAAATTAAATTCTTAAAATAATAATTCAAGTAGTAGGTAGAAAGGACCAACATAATATTAAATATAATTTACTTATATGCAAAACTATTATCAATCATAATAATTATAAATAATGATAAAATTTTACCGAACAGCAAGGTGAACTAATGTGTGTCCAGTATCAAACGCTGATGGTCTATTAAGTAATGTTACTTCAGTTGATGTCAATGACCTGGTTGGATCACCACCGGCGTGTAAATAGGCTGCAATAGGACTCCAATCACCTTGAACTACGCCTACACAAGCAGCAAGCCAGGCTCTATCATAGTTACTATTAATGTCATCCAAACGACGTCTTGACGAAGATCTACAATAAAACAAAATTTATTAGTGGGTACAGAATTTAAAATGTAATAAATACATAAATTAAATATAAATTTGTACTTGATATTTTAAATAGACAATGCCTAAAGCTGAATAAGTTTTGTAAAACCTGACACATTAACATTTGTTTAAACTATAAGTAATATCAATTCAATTTAAAAAAAAGTTTGTTTTATGTACCTATCTCAGGAATATTTTTCTTTGAAGAGTTGAAAGAAATTTATGAAGGATATTATACAAATACTTTTATAATAATTCATTGTTACTGAAAAATTGTTACATTATAAATTTAACAATTTACATGCAAAACAAAAAAAAATAAATTGATATACCTCGATTAAATAAAAACAAATTATACCTAATTATTTAAAAGTTATAAAAATAAACTAACCTTTTTAATGTACAAATATTTGAATCTGTATTAATGGTTGCTGCTAAGTCCTTCTCTGGTGACTTAACTCTTTTTGTAATTATAGTGGGAGGTTCACATAATGAATGATCAGGTGATGGTGATGTTTTACGCGGTCCTCTTGTTCCTGTTCAATAAATTTAGTCATATTATATTAAGTTTTAACAAAGACCGAAATATGTTGTTTTTATTATGAAAAAAAAATTTAGAATAGAAATCTTACCACACATGATACATTTAAAACTTTTAGGCCAATTTTGATATGTACAAGCAGCACAAGACCATTTGGTAAGTGATCGTGTTTCTAAACTAGATGAAGCCTCTTCATTTTCTGGTGAATTAGCTCTATCATTGATCTTCAAATCACTGTTGAATTGTTCGTTAAGTGCATCAACTAGATTGGTATCTATTATTTTATCACAGTTATCAATTTCCCCAGATGCTAAATTCACAATCACAATAATTTATCAATAAGTAGTAATAAGTAATGACTATATAACTAAATTTTACCTTCTATTAGTTGAGGTTGAGGTTCAACAGGAAGTTCATCTCTAAGACTATATATGTCCTGAGCTTGCGACAACTGCAGTTTGGGTCTTCTACACATGACACATTTCAGTGATGAATGGTAATTATCATAAGTGCAGACATCACAAGACCATTTAGAATTAATTTGGGTGGTCATCATTGGTTTTGAATCTTCCAATTTGTATTATTTAGATTCAAAACTAGTATTTAATTCATAACACTGCAATTTACAATAAACAGATTAATGTCAAAATACACAAAATACAAACATAAGTAAAGCAAACATTTTCAAACAAATTTATGTTAAGTGGTGGCCTACATTAAACAAAAAAAAAATGTTTTGGTCAGTAATTACGACCTAGTTAAAATATATTACTAATTTCAAAATCAAGTTGAAGGTTTGGCTCGCCGCCGTCAAAATGTGCCCGACTATTTTGCGACTTAATAATATCGTTCTTGTGACATAGCGGAAAGGAAGAATGCGACATGATGATCCATAGCACTTACTTGTAATGTAACTGGATAAGCAATGGTTTGATGCCAGGATCATAGGCTATACGGACAAAAGTTGTAATGATTGTGCATTCAAAATATATGACCGCAATATTTTAATAATAATATATAATTAATAATAATAATAATAACAACAACTAAAACTAAAAAACAAAAACAAATTTACTAACAACCATCACCTACGGGCCACGGGAAAAATTCTGAATAAAAATAAAAAGAGAAAGACGAATATGATTACGGTGATAAGATGTTTTTGTTCGCAAGTCTACACGGTAAAATGGGAAAAAAGATACAAAGCAATCGGCCGTGTCGTCATTACGCACTAGATGTTAGGAACGTGCCAACAGCTGATGTCGTGCCGTAACTACTACTACTCGTAATTCGTAAATCGTAATAATTATTTGAGCATATTATTATTATTTTCAATGTTGTATTCAGCGGTCAATAATTTGTAATTTATGGCAAATCGCCGATTCGTAGTGCTCAAGAGTCACGAGTTCAAGACCAGTACAGTTTACACTTAACATTCTACAACCTATAGTGTACTCGTTACATAGTAATATAGTATATTATTATTTTGTCATGGTAGTACTGTAATAGTAGGTACTTGAGTACGTACCTAGTAGTACTTGTGTACTCAGTACTGACAGTAGTACTACACTACCGCTACCGAAATAAGTCACAACACAGAACAATAGTACCCACTACCCATGAATCATGCGGTGACCTTACCCACATTATTGACGATTGTGTACAACACAACGGCACAACGCCAGAATAACACGAGTACTCCAGTCCTCAATATTCAACCTATTTGCACATCAGTAGGTCGGTTAGAATTTAGATTACATATTTACATGCGTATGAACGTCAGCTTTCGTATCCAGCACTTTTGATTTGGTTGGGGGGAGGGGACGATTTGATCCATTTCAACGCTTATTGCTACAGCTCGACGTAACTGCATAAGTCAATTGATATTTTATAATTTTTATTTGAATAATTTAAACATTACCTATACTGACGGCTTACCATGTTGATTTAAAATATTTTAATTTAACATAAAGTTACATGACGTGTACCTACTTACTTTAGTGGCATTGTTGTATTATACCTAATTGAAGAAATTACGAAATTTCAAAACATTATTACAACTTTTAGAGCCGTTACACTCCAGCGATATTTAATCGTACAATATATTTTAAGGCACGAAAAATAAAATTAATAAATCATAGACTGAAATTTGACTGAATTTTAGGGGGAGCCTAAATCCTTCGTTACGAAATGAGAAGCGGTCCATTGAAATACGTTCAATAATTTTGGGGGCTTTTAATATTTTGAGGGGGCTAAGCCTCCTCTCCCCGAAGCACCCCTCAATCACTACCCGTGTGATAGATTCTGAGCGGAGTGAAATATATTTTTTACTCGATATGAATTCATTATAGAAAATTTTTGGTTGGCTTAGGAGAGAGTGGCTCTCCCCATCACATCTTAATAGGGTCCCCGAATTAAAAATAGCTAGGTATGCTAGTTGAGATTTTTTTTAGGCGTTCACTGCTCACTACATTAGTCATTATTTAGGTCCCAGTTTTTTCGGGTATTAGACACTAGTATAGTACACTATAGTTGGGTCCCTAATATTTTTTGGTGGGCACTACACTGTACTAAAATTTATCTTCTTCCCATTTCAATAAACTTAAGACTGTCTTTGATCTATTTAGAGTTAAATCAGATGTATGGTTAAAAATTTTTTTTTTTTTTTAGTTTCTTTGCCATTAAAACTATAAATTATAAGAATCTTAAAAATTATGATATAAGTATATAACACAAACATATGGGTATAGTACCGGAAAAAAATATTAAAAATCAAAATATGGTACGTATTATATAATAAAAATAAAAATAAAAGTTGGACGAGGGGGTTCCGCTGTGCTGTTGTAGTTGTCGAGCATGTCATTGTAATATAGATCTGTCATATTTGAATTCAATGATAAATCATTTGATATAAAAAACGATTCTGAGTGGAGACGTTGTTCTAATATGGTATACTACTATAAATAATCAAATTTAATAATTATGGTGGCGGAATTTTGTTGTTGTTAAAGCCTTAAAGGTAGAAAAAATTGTGGGGAATCTTTTATTAAAATGTATAATGTTGGCTAAAAAAAGAAAACTTTTTATGAATTTCTAACAGAGAAATAATTTACAAAATTTGAAAAAATTCTCATGGCTTTAAAAAGCTCAAAAGCAGTCAAAACAGTTAGAATAAATTTGAGTATATTGTTTCGAAAATATTAATTTTAACATTTGGAAAAAAAATAATTGGGACAACGGTTATTCGTTTTTGAATTACAACAAAATATAAAAATCGATAAATGGAAATTCGTTAATTTAACGGTTAAAGTCCAATATCGCACAAGGCTTAAATTCAAACTCTCATAAAAAATTAATATTCGGCTCCAGTAAACTTGGATTTGTTAAAAGTAGAAAAACTTGTGTAAAATCTTCGATTCATTTTTCTATTGGCACTTGTTAGCTATGAAAACTTGAAATTGCAACTTGCAAGTGTTTATGGTTATTTGTTTTTGAGTTACACTTGCAAAAAATAAAATCGATCTTGTCAAAAATTGAGTTTGCCTAAAAATCCTATATACCTGATGTGCACATTATGATAGTATGATCGCTATACTACCTATGCAAGTTAAAGGTGGTTAAAGTAGCAACCTTTGCAACCACAATGCAGCTCAATATGGCCGATTAATCACGTGACTAATGGGCCGTTTTTTTCAAGTGGCCGTATGAGTAAGTTAGTCGGACTGAGATTAATAACTAAATTCATAAACGATCCTAAGACAAATTTCAGATTTATTTTAAGGATAACTTTAAATTGGTACTTATTCATAAATCTCACTCAGACCCGAGGCCGTATAGAGTTAGAACCTAGCTGGTCAGGTTAGTTTAATTCACGGTTTAATTCTTTATTCTAATTTTTAGACTTCACATAAGAGTCATCATGATAATCGTGTTATCACCACTCACCAGTGTTATCAATTTAATTGTATTGTTAAAATGATAAATAATTAAATTTACAACTCTCGAGTCTTGAATCTTGATAGAATAAATATTTTGCTTCTAAAGAGAAGAATATACGACACCTTTGGTAAAGACTAGAAATTACTGATTATAAATTTAAATTTAAAGTGTTTTTGACGTTTTTGTCATTTTTGGGAATTTCAGAATTTACCTGTTTTTATTAATTCTATATTTATATTAATTGTTGTTATAATTACTATTTGTGAAAGTGTCTTACAATATGTTATAAGCATTAGTAAGTACTAAGTAGTAGTCTTTTATGTATGGTGGGTAGGTTATGTGCTACTAAATTACATATTGTGTAGTGTTTGCCGTTTGGTAATTTTGTCTTGCACTTAAAAACTTTGTGAAAAATTGTATGTAAATTAATACTTGTTAATTGTGTACCTATCATTGATTATTCAGGTTGAAGTATCAAATATTCTAATTCCAAAAAAATAGTTCAACAATTACCAAATCAAAATGCCAAAATTGGAAGTGGGATGTAGAGTTGAGCTAACTGGAAAAAATTTACAAGGAAAAATTGCTTTTATTGGACAGACACAATTTGAAACAGGAACTTGGGTTGGCATAATTTTGGATGAACCTAAAGGAAAAAACAATGGTGTGGTCAAAAATCGTCAAGGCATCTCAAAAACTTATTTTGAAGTAAAAGTCCAATTTAATATTTAACTTTTGCATATTTTAATTACAGTTTTAGTGTTTTATTACCAATTGTATATCTTACAGTCATTCACTTTTAATAGGGTATTAAGAAATTAAGATTAATTTAATCCATTTTTTGTTTACCAGTGTGAAGAAAATCATGGTATATTTGTACGACAATCGCATCTTACACTTATTGATGAAACAGGAGCACGTTTTGATATGTCTGCTAGCACAGAGTCTTTGGTCCCAAAATCATCGGTCAAGTCTCGAATTAGCAGGTAAAATAGATTCTTTGTTTTTTAAATAAGTTAAAATATATTTTATTACCTACCTACTTTTTAATTTGTATGGTTTACATACCATATAGCCTGCGAAAAAAAATTGATACGAATGCGTAAGTTGGTTTAAAATATTTTTGATTATTTATATACATTTTTAAAACATTTTTTTAGTTCTAGGCAGTCATTATCAGGTTCAAGTAGATTAAGCTTGATTGCCCCTAAAAATAAAGATGATACTTCACCAGTTTCTCGTACTTCTTCTCAGTCATCATTGGTTGGTACAAGCCGTACACCATCACAATCATCAATTGCTCTTCCTTCTCGTACCTCATCACAGTCTTCAATGCCTGCTCCATCACGTACATTGTCACAAACATCTCTTGCTGGAATGGATTTAACTCCTAAACGTTCTTCTTTTGTTGAGGTATTTTAAAATTTTAAATGTTTATTATTAATTCTTTACTATTATTATAGTCTTAAATTAAACATTTTAAAACATATTAAAATGCACTTTTTTATATTGAATATGTTGATTTTTATTTTATCATAGATGTTCACCGTGTTTTATTTTGATACATGTATGATTGTTTTACAAACAATTGATGCTAATCATGATAATTTCACAATATGTTATAAAGTCATAAACATATACATATTATATTTGTATGTATTATTGTATTACATGATTTAATTACTAGATTATTTTTAGATATTTCTTGTCGGTAATTGTAAGTTTTAAAAATAATACAATTCTATATTAAATATTTTGAATAGTCGTTTGAAATATTTTTGTTCCATTGTATTCTTTAGGAACCTTAAGTGTTTTGAAATGTTTTCAGCGAACACCCAGCAGTGAAAAGACAAGTCGAATGTCTAAACTTATATCTCCAAAAGTGAAATCGGCTGTTAAAACGCCAATGACAAAATCATTGACGTCATTAAAAGATGTGTCTAACTCTGAAGTAATTTTTATTTTTGTAAAAACAAAAGGGAAATTGTAAATGTTCTTTATGGCTTATTTAATAAATTATTTAATATTAATTTATTCTGCTTTGTGAATACAGTAAATTTAATGTATGTATAGGGTTTTACACAAATTTTCAAAACATTTTACAAATTATTATATTCTAATAGAATAACTTAAAATGCAAGTATTCTGAGTAACTCGTTTTAATTCAAAACAATCATTATCATAGACAATCTTGTTTTTTATTAATAGTTTAAACTGTACATCATATTTATTATTAACATTCCGAACTAGAATACTTTTATACAAATATTGTATTTAATTTTAGATTAAAAGTTTGATGTAAACTGTGATAGAAGATTTCCCATCAAATTAAGGTCCATTCATATAAACTGTCAGTAATTAAAACAACCAAAAAAAATCTAATTTCAACAATCATTATTCATACAATATAAATTTCATACAATTATTCTACGTCGGAATTCAGATGATCCATGATCCGTACAAATTTGACTGTTATGATAAATGTCCTTTGTGAAAAGAATCACTAATGATATTCAACTTTTTTGTAAATTGACTTTTTCCATTATTTGAAATAATCTCAGTAAAAATGTAACAATCATTTATGGTTTTATAAATTTTTCATTCCATCCATTATAAGTTATAACATAAAACTTAATTTATATAAACTATTCTATAATGGAAAAAGTTAGGTTAATTTAATAAAAAAATATACAAGTCAGGATACATTATACTATTTTAGCACTGCACTAAAATAATAGTTGCACATCTTTTAAGCTTAATTAATAATAATCGTAATATAAAATTAATTTTTGAACTCAATATAATATTTAAAAATATTATTAAAATAAACTACTAAAAAATATAGTTATTGGATTAGTTGGAGGATACTCATCTGGTTCATTTACTTCAATACTTAACTGTATTATATTATAACTTATTTAATTAAAAAAATTATTCGACTTATTTTATGTGATCCACTTATGTTTATAATACTGTTTAATTATTTAAATTCAATTAAAATCTGGTTACATTTAATTGGTTTAATTGTTTGATTAATTAAATAACGTATTTTAAAACAATAAGAATAAGACTGAATTCTCAGTATCTCTACCTTAACTCAAAATGTTTCTTATATTCATTGTCATTTGTGGTATTAATATTATATATTATCTAGATGATTACATGATTATTAATTGGTTTATATTTAATAATTATTTTGCAAGTTGATTTTTCACTGATCAACTTATTGAGCTATTAATTACATTTCAACTAAATATTTATAATTACCTCAAATATTTTAGGAAAAACGTTGTTTTATAAATCATGGTTTATAAGGCTATATGGTTATAGTTTTATAACTGTTTTATTTTGAATATAGAAGGAACATTCTAAAAACAAAGGTGCCTATATTATTTTAAATGTTATTTAGTTTCTTATGTAACAGCAATCGATGGTCTCAAATTAGTACTTTTTGGATTCTAAGGGAATAAATTTCATTTTTAACTTCATTATACTATAATATTTGTTTCAGTCAAGTTAAATAAAAATTTTAATATGAATTTATTTTTTATCCAAGAACAATCCATACCTATATATGTTATTTCTACATTTATTATAGGCACTGTAAGTTTTTTTTTAAATCTATGTTTGCATGTATTATATGTCAATGTATCTATGTACAGAAATATCAATATTATTTAATATTTGTTATTATGAATTTGCACGTTTGCTTTTGTGTCATTCATTATTGATTCTTATGGTAATCATAGTACAAGGAATAAAAAGTATGCTCAACACTTCTTGTTGTAGTTCGTACAAGTACCTTGAGTTTATTGTTGGTTGCAAATATAAATTATATATTGACCCTTAAAAAAATATGTGCCCTTTTATCATTAAGCATGCTTCTTATTCTTTATATTATGATGGTAATAATCTAATAACATCGTATGATTCAAATAATTCATATCTATTGTATTTTTTATACAATTTTATTTTATTATTTAATAGACTGAATTTGTTGAAGCCCTCAAACCACATTATACTCCTGGATCTTCTGTTGCACAAAGTACAACCACCCCTACACAAAGACCATCTTCAAATATGGCTGATGCAATTGAAATCCAAAATCTAAAGGATCAAGTACAAGATTATACTGAAAAGTTGGACGTAGTCAAAAGTAAAAACCAATAATTTTTTAAGGTGGCTAATTTGTGTTAATATTCCTATTATTTTTATTATATAGCAAGGTTAAAAGAAAAGTCTCATGATATTGATATGATGAAATTGCAGCTAGATCAAGCATCAGAATTTAAAATTAAAATTATGGAATCTCATTCAGCATTAAAAAAAGAATTAGAAAAAGTTAAAATGGAGAAGCAAGATGCATTAGAAGGAAAAGACGAGTATAATGAAATGGCGGAGACTTTAGAAATGGCAACTCTTGATAAAGAAATGGCTGAGGTTAAAGCAGAAACCCTTCAATTAGAATTAGACCAAGCAAAAGAGCGCATCGAGGAATTAACAGTAGATTTAGAACTCTTAAAGGCTGAGTTTGAGAAAGGAAATGAAAGTGAAGAGGGAGGAGATGGTGCCAATTCTTTTAAAGTCAAGCAACTTGAACAACAAAATTTACGCCTTAGAGATACCCTTGTCAAGTATAACATTCTTTTAAATTATTATTGTTTTTCTATTTAGTTGACATTTTTTTAAACTTTAGATTACGAGACTTATCTGCCCATGAAAAACACCAAACACAGAACTTACAAAGAGATATTGAAGAAAAGACCAAACAATGTAATGATTTACAAAAGTCCAATGAAAAGTTAACAGCTAGAGTTGAAGAACTTGTATCTCAAGTTAATGATTTGCATGAACAGGTTATATCTTAGTTTTGAAATAGAGAGTTTCACTGTATTAGTATATTATATTATATTATTTATAGGTGGATGCAGCTTTAGGAGCAGAGGAATTGGTTGAGCTTTTGGGCCAACAAAAATTAAATTTGGAAGATAAAGTGGTAGAACTAGAGGAAGCAGTGACTGATCTAGAAGCGATACAAGATATTAATGATCAACTCCAAGAGGACAGTAGAGAGTTGGAAATGCAATTACGTGAAGAATTGGATATGGCAAATGCTAATATTAGAGAGGTTTTGATTAGTACTAATAGTATATATATTTTTTATTTATAAGTTATATTTATTTTAAAGTGTGTCAAAGAAAAAGAACGAGCATTGGAAAGTTTAGCCGATCGAAGTTTAGTTATTGTAAAATTTAGAGATCTGGTTAATGAACTACGAGAACAAAATCAAGATCTACAAACTCAGTTAATGAGAGAATCTGCATCAAAAGATGAAGTTCGGTCATCAATACCAGAAATGCTTGACTTTAAGGTTAACTATAAGTTAAAATATTTATTTTGTGAATAAATAAAAATAAAAATATTTTTTATCAGAAAATGTTTGCTGAAACTAAAGCTCATAGTCGAGCAATTGATTTGGAACTACGTAGAATGGAAACTCAAGAAGCTCAGCAACATATACAGTATTTATTAGCATATATGCCAGATTCATTCTTGTCTCTTGGAGGTAAGTTTGATTCTGCTATCTATATAATTTGTTAATGTTTATTGATATCTTCTGATAACAGTTAAAAAATAATAAATATAGTATATTATTTAAATGTCACTAAAATATACATTGGCTTAAAATTATATAATATACATTTCGTATTGTTGGCTTAAATTTAAATAGTGGAGTTCATTAACCTACTATTAATATTAAACTAAATGCTTAAACACTACCTGTATTCTTTGGTTGGTTTTTAATATTTAAAAATGCTCATGAATTGCTTAAAAATTAAAATATTGTACAAAATCAACAAGAGATCACAGTTAATGTTCTAACCTTTAAGATTGACCAATGATGATAGGTCAGAGAAGACTACTTCTCTATACTCTATTCCAAATAAGTTAAGAAAAAAATCACGATGAAAACACTTCACAGATCAGACATATGTTGTCTTGTTAGTTGTAATTGATGCCCAATAATAGATAGTGGTTTTATTATTCCGAGGATGCACTGTTATTTCAAACTTGGAATAGAGTATAATGCTACACTTAACACCTAACAACACAAATTTGAAACTGCTCAACGTACATCTACCATGTTGTAAAGAATACGACACACATGCGCTTATGATTTTCTCTAAAAATGCTACATTAGTTAATTCTAATAGAGCCTGTCAGATATTTAATAAATTATATTTTTACTAAATTTAGATTGTTTTCAGTATAAATATGATCATTGTGTAATGTACTGAGGTCCTTAGGCAAAATAGTATATTTTGTATTTTATTAGGTGATTATGATGCTATACTATCTCTCTTGTTATTGCCACGCATGATTTGGAAGAGTGAAATACTCATGACACATGTCCGTGATAAATATCCTGATGTTCAAGAAATTACCAAAGAAACTCTTATGAAAGATCATTCAGCAGAACAATTTGCTACTCGTTCTCGTTTGTCATTTTACTTATACAGTTTGCAGGTTTATATTCATATTTTCAGTTGCATTTTCAGTACAATTTAAATAATAAAATCTTTTTTCAGACTGCATTAAGACAATTTGTTCATGGAATGAATACAACAACACCAGAAACATTAATCAAAATTGGTGAATCATACCCAGATATGACAATTCAAGAAAAAGTATTAAATGGATATATTGAAATGTTGAAAATTGATCAGGTGATTTTGTGTTTCTTAAAATTTTGTCATACATACCTACAATGTGTTAATTATGTTTAGTTGGATGAAAATGTTAATACTGAAAACTTGGAACGATGTGTTGCTTACTTTAAACATGTGTATGCACCTCTTATACAAGATTTCAATCCACATTATGAGCATTTATTATTAGACAATGTATTGGTTTTGTCAGCAGCTTGTAATACTATTCAAACAGATGCCAATATAATAAAATGTGTAATCCAAGTAATTTTTATTGAAATATTAAATAAATAAAACTTATAATATTTTGTTAGTTATTGTGTATTCATATTTTCATGTGTATTTATTTTAGTGTGATAGTTCCTCTAATGTTCTAAAATTATGTGATGATGTATCAGTTGCTTGCGAAGTCATAAGTCAACATTTAAAACAAATTAAAAAACGTGCAGATGTCAACAGTATTACAAAAGTAGATTTGAGTTCTTGCATACAGTATGCAGAAAAATTAATAACTGTATTGAGAGAGACTGCTAAATGTGCCGTCAGTCAAATCTCACTAGGTACAGGTAATCTTAAAATAAAGATAAATTTACTTTTTAATCCAACAATGTAAATATTTTAGATGATAAAAAAATAAACAGTGACAGCATTATGCAAGTAATGAATAATGCAGTTGAAAAAGTATTTGAGAAAGAAGATTCGAGCAAAGGAGTGACAATATGTTTGAAAATGTGTATTTCAACTCTTGCTGGAGAAATTGCTAATGCTGCTCAAGTTATTCTAGAAGCTGACTTGACATTACCAACTACTGATAAAACTAAAGTAAAATTATGATTTAATCTTAACAGTTGACAGGTTTGAATTTTTAACCAAATATCCTAGGTTTGGATTGGTTCAAAATCAAATGTATAACTTAATTAAATTTAATTAGTGTGTTAGCATATTCCTGACATTTGTTCAGCTTTGCATTAACATGAGTATAAAAATAAATTGTTCAAATATTTAAATAATTAATAACTAAATAGAGGTATTAAAAAAGAGGTATTTTTTTAGAATATTCCACCTATTACTGAACGGGCTAAACAAATTAAAAGTGAACTAGAAGAAACTAAAGCTTTAAGAAATACAATTAAATCTAAAGAAAATGATATACTTGAATTAAAAATGGCTCTTCGGTCCAAACAAGAAGAAATTGGTGAACTCAATGTTAGAAAAGAATTAGCCGAGAAAAAACTATCTACAACGATACACGAATCAGAAATGTCTATCGAAAAACTACAGGTAATATTTTTAAATAGTAAATTATTTAAGAAACCAAGAATAATTATTTTTAATGGTATTTAAATAATTTATAAATCGTTGCAGAGGAAATTGGATGAAACACAACAACAATTAAAAAGAAAATCAAAAGAATATGAAGAAACGATGGATCATTTGCAAGCAGATATTGATTCATTGGAAACAGAAAAAGGAGAACTTAAAAATAAACTTAAAAATTTCTCAAAGAAAATTCTTATTGAGGGCATAAACAAATCTGCATCAAGTGAGTTTTATATTTTTAAGCTGTAACTAAAATATAGTTCTTAAATATGAATTACATATTAATTCCATTTTTTTCATTTCAGTGACTGCTACTGGGAATGATAGTAATAAACCATACCAAGAATCTCCATTCTTACTTAATGAATTAAAGTTAACTAAAATGGCATTAAAACATGAAATAGATCAAAGAGCCAAGCTTGAAAATAATTATTGTGAACAATTATTTTCTCAATTAAAACCATTGCCTGTAAGTTGATCAACTTTTTTTTATTTATTAAACAACAATACTATAGTAATGATATATTTGTTGCAACATAGTATTGAATATATTTTACTATTTAAAACAGAACAAATTATGATTAATGGTTCAATTGAAGTGCCTTGAAAATTTAGTGAGTAGGTAGTTAAAATAACTATACTTTCGAGGTTTTCTGCTATAAATTTACTAAACAGGAATGTGATTATTTATATATAATTTATTAAGCCCGTTTCACGATTGTTTGAAGGGATGGTAATTTAGAATGAGTGAATGATAAGTATCAATCAAATTATTTGAACTGTCAGTTTAAATTTTATTCTTGGCTGAGAGAATTTTCCTTATCGGTTAAATTTTTTTTTTTGGATATTTTTAATATCCATGGATACAGCATCAACTACTAAGGTTATTAGCTAACAACAATATTCATATTAACTACATATTAATAAGTGCATTGAATTTCCTAGATTGAGTTATACATATTAATATATTTTAGAAATGAAATCAGTTAACTTTAAACATAAAATAATACATTATGTCAAGTTTAATTTTTATATCAATATTAAGAAAAAGTAATGGATGTTTAATAACAATAAAATGCATTTTAATGTAAAGAAACTGAGTAAAATTTAAATATTTGCTAAATAATTATATAGTATTCATGTGAACACCCAGAACATTGACAGGGCCAAATAAAAATTTAAGTCAATTTATCTTAAAATATTCTTCAATTTATCAAAGCATTATACATTATGCCTATAATTAATCATTAACTATTAGGCAAAATAAAAATACATATTTTGAGATTAGTATTTAATATATATTATGGCGGTAATTGGATTTATTGAATATTGTAACTATTAGTGCCATAATAGCATTAAAATCATGAATTAATTCAGTACATGTCAATTTATAATAATTGAAATATTAATACCTAAAATGATTAAATTATTTGAAGATCAAGTATCTGTTTTTAACTTTTCTCTAGACATATTTTAAATGTTGATGTCTAATTATTTCCATTACTTCCTTGTCAGTTAGGTATTTTACACACTGAACAATGGTTTACTTGGCTTATAATATTTCTTACTATTGTCATTAATTCAATAAAAGGTAATAGGTATTATGATTGTTTATAGGTGCCTAGTGAACCGTCAGATGAAGAAAAACATAGAGTAGTTAAATTAAAAAAATTGGGCAATGAATTATTAAACGTAAGTAATAATTTTTAAAGATTGTTGTATTACTTCCTTCATAATTATGATTGTTTTTGTTTAGGATTTCCATAAAACATTAACTAACATAAATGTTTTGGATGTAACCAAACGTGTACCTGGAAGAAAACTTGCATCTGATGAGAATATATCAGCTAAACAAGTTCTGGATCATAATTTGAAATGGAAACAATTACAAAAAAGATTGGATGTTTTACAAGTAACAATTTATTAATTCAGAAGTCATTATTAGTGTTAATTAATTCTTTCACTCTATATTTTTAACAGGATAACTATAGCAAAGAGATAATTAAAAGACAAAATTTTGGATGTATTGAAACAGAAATGACCACTTTCCCAACTCCAGCTTTGAAAAAGGTCTAAAAAAACTATTTATACATTATGGAAATTTTCAATTTAATTTTTAACTATAGGCATTAGAGGAAGAAGAACCTGTATTAGCTGCAGAGTTTGTAATACCAAAACCTCCAAACTGGACTGGGCCAACAAATATAAAAGTTGAAATGGACACTAAAGTCTTAGCTTCATTACAAAATAAAGTCACTAATGCTGCTCAAATAAATCCACATGTTCGGTATGTAATTACAATTTTAATTAATCTAATAAACGCAGTCATTTTTATTTTTATTAGTACAATTATTAAGCTAAAATATTTATTTGTACTAAGTCACCCCCTCTACTATTTTATACTTATATAAATCAGTTATTGGCTATTAAATATTAATGCAGAATATAATTTTTAATTTTTAATGATCAAAAATATGAATTATTATTTATAAATTACTAGTTTTTATAATCATTGTTTAGTTGTTTGTTTTGTCATAACATAAACATAATAATATCAGTTATGAACTTGTTAATATAAAAATTAACTTTCTAAATTATAAATGAGTTATTAAAATCATTAATAAGCATGTGTATTATTAAACAGGTGATATAAAACAGTTTTGCTTAATTTAGTATGTGATAACAGCACATTATACAATATAAGCAGGAAGCTGGATCATTGCTGGTTTAAAAAATCCAAATGAATTAACTAAAATAATATTTTGCATTGAAATATTAAATCTTAAGACTGAATTTGTCTATGTCCAAAAATTGAAATTTTTTCCTACTTTCGTTATATCACATGCTGAGCTCTTAAATTCTTGATTTCCTCCTGTAATTTCTTTAGGATTGCCTTTATAGCCAAGGTTCTTTTAAAATTAAATTTATCAATATTTTCTTTTATTCACTATGTTTCTCATCATATTTATTACTATCAATAACAGAACAGTAGGGTTTTAATATTTTTTTGAATAAAATAAAGACTCAATTAACAATGTTTCAAAATTATTGAAATGGTTTCAGTTATTCAAATACTTTGTTAATTTCTAAGTACGCTAATTATAAATGTTGAAACTATCTCACCTCTAACTTAAAGACAATTTTACAAACATTTATCCACGATTTTCAGTTTTTTTAATATTTTTTATAAACTGATAGGTATCCCAATGATGATTTCAAAATAAAATATTTCAAAACTAATTCCTTATAAAGTTATAGTGTATTATTTATAAGTTATTGTCTAAGTATAACAAGTAGAATATTATTTTAGAAAAATCTATCAGAAAACTTTTTAGTAAATGTTCAACAATGCAGTCAATATTAAATTTCAAAAAATATGTTTTATTATCTTTCAGTTACAATTTTGCTTATACAACTGAAGAACTACTTGGAACTAATTAAATAGCTGTATTAGAAATCAAGTTTGAGTATATTATTTTTATATTAAATAGAACAGAATATGATATTTATATTTTGTTTTAATGTGATACTTTACACTAACAACTTTCATATTTTGTATCTTATTTTATATTATAAATTATTTATTTGATAACATTAATATCATATTAATATTTGTAAACTATACATTTAATTTTTAAGAAACTTAGTTTAATTTCCATACATTTGTTAACTAAAATAAAAAACCATTTCAGTTGATTCTGATAACAGATTTCTGTAATATTAATGTGTTTATCTAATAAAGTATCTCATGAATTTTTGTATGCAGTTGTAAAAATATAATATTGGGCGTATAAGAAATATCTAACAAATGTAATTAATTATGTAGTAACTATTGCTAGACATTGCAACATTTTTTGTTGACATTATACGCAATATTACTTATATATTCATAAAAATACTAAAATTAACCTCTCATAACTGGTTAGGTAGAATGCGGGAAAATTTCTGGTTGGGAATTGTAACAGATTCACATAAAATAAAATGGTTACTAAGAATATTATTTTAACGAATAGAAAGACTTAAAGAAATAAGAAAATTTAATGAAAATTAATTGTTAACAAGACCTGTGAAACTAATACAGAGAGAGATAGATTTTTTTTCTATGATAAATACATTGTTATCTAAAACTTTAATCACTTATTTAATTTTGATAAGAAAAATAAAACCTTTTAACATAATTTTGTTTTGTTAAATTTTGTATGTATTTGTTTTTACTGTTTATATATTCCATTAATTTTGCTTAATTGCTTTTCTCTATCTTCTTGACATCAATAGTTTTTCAATGTTTCATTTTAGTATTTGTTTCATAATTCCTGTTATGTACTTACTATTTTAATATTTTAATCATTTTGGGCCTTTGTTATTTCGGGGCTTAGTTACTTTAACCCCCCCCCCTCCCTCCTCCTCTATATGCTCCTATAAAAGAGTGAATAATTAGCAAATTTGTAAAAATTGTAAACTTTGCTCAACTGTTCAGCCGCTTTAAAGATATAGTATACTGTGTTGTGACTTGTGAGGCTTTCAGTCAGTAGCTGTCCCTTTATTAATACAAGTTCCAAGGATTACCATTAAATTGGTAATATAAAGGTGTATTTTTCTTTAATAAATAATACACAACCCGAATGTAAATTGAAAAGACAATGTAAAATGTCGCAGTTATCTTGATACTTGGTATGTTTGACTTGTAGAATAGTGAGTAACAAGTGTCTCCACTCCTTATCTTCTGAATCAACAATCAATTATATACTTGTCTAGTTGTCTACCTGAGTACTGGCCAGGGCGGTACTTATAATCATTATTATATATGCGTCATATAGCCTCTCATATCTAGGATTACTATGTTATTCCTATTGAAGTCCAACTTGGAATCTTGTCACAAGGGAATAAAGTAATGTAGACTATAAAATACTTCTGACCCAATTTATTCACTTGATGTTCAAAATTTTTATTTTGGATTTGTCAAGAACACATAATTTAAGATTTTTGAAATGTCTTAGTAGTTGTGTAGGTAGTTGCGAAAAATCGCATCATGCAAAATGTAGATTCACTTTTTTACAATAGATTTCCCATTTAAAGTCGAAATTTTTTCGTAAAATACTTCTATATGGGCTGTGTTGGTATTGAACCGAACTTATGAAAACTTGAGATTCGGTGGGAGCCTATTATCATACATAAAGCCTAACAACCATAGACATGGTGGTCAGATAACTATAGTCACCTAGGTAGGTGATACTATATCCAGTCTGGGTGAGTCAAAAATCTCGATTTTATCAAATATTAAATGGATAGCTAGGTAGGTTACTTTACAGCCTTCTTAACATCAAATTATAAGAAAAGTAAATACAATAGATATAATTTTGTGGATCCTAACACCGATTCTCATACCAAAAATATGTTGAACATTGCTGATATGTGCTAGTGCAAAATTGAATATTGATAAATGCGGTAGAAAAAGACAGGACGAGACTAAAAAGAATGAACTAATAAAATAATGAAATTAGGCTGAATAAATAAGAAAAATAAATGAAATACTATTCCAAGAAATAAGTATCACAGGTGACAGGTATATTTAAATTAAGGAGATGTTTGTTTTTCTCTCTGGTTCACGCGCAACATTGACAAAATGCAATAATGCAATAATTTTTTTCATGTTTTTAAGTAATCTTAGAGTAAAATCACCCATTGAAAAATACATAGAGAACAATAATTTTGAAGTTATATCTTATTAATTTAATTTGTCTCAAAACATTTTAAATTAATTTTTTGAAACATTTTTAAATTTACAAATTGTTATTATTGAAGTCGAGCTTAAAGTTAAATAATAACAAAATATAAAACCGATGTTTCAAACCCTCAAATATATTATCACCTTTAACTTTTTTAACATGTGATTTTACTCTTAGATTACTAAAAAAATACAAAAATCAATTTTATGAAAATGCATTTTTATCCATTATACTCGTGGGTCTGAGAGAGAAAACATATATACTTCGAGGTCATCCTCTTAAATAACTAATACATTTAAGTACTATAGTACGTTCCTATATAAATTACAAAATTAAATTGTCTAATAATATTACGTTATTTAACTATGTTTTTAAATTGAAATATTAATTTAATTATTATTTATTATAGTGTTAGGTTTACTGTCATAGAACTATTAATTAGTAAATCCTATGTAGTAAAACATAGTAGGTAACCAATTTAATTTTAACTCATATTGATTTGCACAGTTGCAATAATTGCATGTACGAAGTACATTACATTATATTTCATGTGATGATAGTATTATAATTACTATAGTGAGCATTGCGCAATACTGCAATAGTTAGTAATGTCTTCATGATCTGATTTGTACTTTATTTTTACATTTAATTCGCGATTCAAAATAATTTTTTTAATAACTTATAATTTACAATCAGACATACTTTTTAAAATAAAAGTAAGAACTAAGTACGAGTCATATAATAGGATCGCACACTACATTTATTCAAAAATACAACTATAAAAATAATAATATATAATAAGTCAATACAAAACAGGCGGGTACTATCTACCTACCTAAAATATTAGTTGCTCTAGTTTAATACACGAGGAATGGGTACACCAATGGTAACTATTTTTTTTTTCATCTTAGTAACATCAACAACTAGGCCATTATTGGTTATTATTATTATTTATGGTTATTATTTGTCATCTATATTATGCACCTTTAAGTATTATTGTACTATGCTTTTTTTGAATAATAATCAATAAAATACTTTAAAAATATAGAATAGTAGGTATACAGTTGTATGGCACTCGCATTGTTTTTTTTCCGTGGTATATTAATTTTTTCGGACTTTTTTTCGCCTACTCTATACCATGAATTTTATTCGTTGCAAATATTATACTCGTATCACCGAATAGGTGAAATTTAATCTATGCTGTGATTATACTATTACCTTAGACCTTAGTTTGTGTTTAAAATGTTGTTGTTTCACATATAATTTTTCATTTCTTTATAAAGTATTGATATGTACAACATAATTAATAAATTTACATTATCAATAAAATACAAGCACCATGCCGCCGTTAAACTACATTAAATATCGAATTAATTTAAACGTCGTCACGGGTACACAAGTCAAAAATTTAAAATTTAAAAATATGCTTTTACGTTAACCCAGTGAATAATATTATTATCCTACATAAATCACACGAATTTTGAAGACGTGCAGAAGAAAATATTTGGCACGCCGTTGTATTTAGACTAAGGAAATAATGTGTTTATCAACAGTGCATAAAATAATATATATATATAACCAACATTAGTTTGTTATAAACGTGTGAACACATACATGCCTACAACCTACCTATATCTTGTTTATAAAGGTCAAAGACTAAAATATTTTAATAAGTCACAATTGATTCAATTTTTATTCGAGCTAATTTGTTACTTTGTTATTCAAAGCATGAGCTAATAAACAATACGACCGTATAACACCGTGACTAAACATGAGTAAAATACAGAATACTATTTACATCCTATTTGATACCTACTAAAACAGAGGCATTCAAACTTTTTCGTCACACGGCTCCTTTAAGTCTTCAAAAAATGTTTACGGCTCCCAAATTATAAATGACGAAAAAATCAATGTTTATATGAATGTAATTTATATTTTATTATTTATTTACCATATTACATATATAAAAAAATTAAAGCTATATTTAGCGAATGATTGTTGTAGACAATTCAACGTTTCCCAACCGGTGTGCCTCAATGATAATAGAGTAAACATTTTGCGTAAAAATATTTATTGGTTTTCAATTATACTACGCGGCTCCCTTCGACAACTCCCGCGACGCCCCTGGGAGCCACGACGCACAGTTTGAATACCTCTGTACTAGAACCTAAATTGCTTGCAACGTTTAATAACTATTATACAGAGACTTTCTTGTGAACTGGAGGAATTTTGAAATAGTGATTAATGAAAATAAAAAATTATAAATGAGAATTGATATGGTCGTAATCAAAGTTCAGTATAATAGTATAGGAGAGGAACTTACATTTATACTCGTATTATAGGCAATTAAAATTCATATGACTGCAGAGGTGTCCCGGTGTCCGCACCTACTTGTTAACGTAATATCTATAGTATCTAGGTATATCAAATATCAATGCGGATATAAATAAATTAAACATTAATATTTTAAAAATATGTATGATCCATTTAAAGTACATTTTTTTTTGTTGTGCACTAAATAATATACAAAATCAAAAATATCTCTATTTAACAAAAAAAAAAAAATACAAAATAATTACAAATCGATGACAAATAATAAAACCTGTCAACGAGGAATAATGCAAAATGTATTTGGGGGGCTTGATTATTATCTAAGGCGGAATGGAGGATCGTCCTTACTTAGTTATTTATATTAATATTATATTACATAACATGTAGTTCAGCTGCAGCGTACCTATGTATAATATAATATAGCCATATATAGGTAATGTAAATATGTAAATACTAATATGATATGACGTGAGTAGGCAGGTAGGTTGTACGTATGACTGACAACGTTGATCCTTGTTTGTAAGAAATATACTATCACTATGGTGGTTATTTGCACTAATTTATTTTAATTTTTAATCTTAGTACCTACTTACTAGTTACTAGTTATACTAGTTAGGTACTATCTACATTCTACTTGATGATTAATGTAATATAATATTTAATTTATGTGTCAATCATATTATATTAGACACCTTTACAATAAATGCTACATGCGATATATATATACATAGGTACTTAATCAC